CAGGCCGGGGCGGCCCCGACCCCTCACCCGCTGGCCTCCTCCTCCCGAGCCCACACTCCCCAGGTCCTGCTTCGTCCCCACTCCAGGAGACCCACGCCCACCACCTCCTCGGGCCCGCAGTCCAATGCCACTTTCTTCCTGAGGCCCGTCCTGCCTCCGGGAGCGCCCCCAACATCCCCCCCTCCCCGTGGCATTGGCTGGGGCCCACGTGTGTGAATGGGTGAAGCCATGCGTGGAGCCCGGGCTGAGCTGAGCGTTTACAGAGCGGGGGGCGGGGGTAACCGGGGAGTCCCAGCACACCTGGGACGTGGCAGAGTGGGGTGGGGGCAGCAGTGGCCCCGGGGGTGGCATCCGGGTGAACCCAGGAGCGCCAGGGGAGGCCCCACTGTGCCCAGGGCACGGTGGGGGTGTGGGTGGTCTGGAGATGGAAGACAGGGGGTCCCGATGCCCTCGTCTCGGGGGTCCTGGGAGGGGCCACTGTCAGGGCTGGGTGCTGCATGTTGCTGCTGGGTGAGGCGCTCCAGTCTGGTCTATGGGGCGGCAGAGGGTCCTCGGCTGGGCCCAAACCCCAACGCCCTCGGAGGGTCTCAGAGTTGCTCACTGGGGGGCTGGGGGCCCATATTGCCAGGGCGGGGGCCCTCCGCTCACCCCTGGCCCCCTGGCCTCATCTCTGCCAGGCCCCTTCCTGCCTCAAGAGTTGCACAAGACCCCCAATGTTCTTTCCCACCCTCCAGACCCTCTCATGCTTCAAGGCTGATGCCCCATCTTCCAGGCAGCCCCAGCTCTCCGCTTGGATTGACTCCCAATGGGCCTGAGCAGCATGGCTGCCCCTGTGCATGCTGCTCCAGACCCCAGAAGACTGGCTTCCAGAGTCACAGCCCCCCAAATGCCGCCTGGCCCCCGGGCACGGCCTCACCTTCCTCAGCCCCCACCCAGCCGCCCCTCTCCCCAAAGCGGGCACCCTGCTGACAGAGGGCTGGGGGCTGACATGGGGGACCCACCAAGTCGGGGGCCCGAAAGGCCAGCGGCCAGAGCAGCCAGGGCCAGTGGCTCAGGGTGGAGCGGGGAAGGGGCTTTGCGGTGATGTCTGCCGCGGGCGTGTGTCTGTGCAGGTGGGCCCGCAGGTGACCCGAGCCCCCGGTGTGAGCAGCTCTGTGTCTTTGTCACCAGCGACAGCTTGTTTCCAGAACCCGCCCAGCCCCCAGCTGCCCGCGCCCGGGAAGGTCCTCTGCACTTAGTAACCCCCCTCTCCTCAGCAGGGGGCTCCCAGGAAAGACCCCCACCCCACGGTGCCCTGTGTCTGAGGGTCTGGTGCCACGACTGTCCCAGAGCCCCCGGCTGGGCTGGGGCAGGGCCGGGAGTGTGTGGACACCTTCGGGCGTCCCCTGCCCCCGCCCCTGCCCTCTCCCCCCCAACCCCACACCCCAGTCAAAGAGTCGAGGACTCCGAACAAGGTACATTTGAAAATTTTATTGGGATTGCGAGCATTGAGGTTAAAGGCAGAGCCCCGAGCAGTGGGGTCCGCCAGAAACAGCATGTTAAAGGGGCTGAGCCGGGGCAAACACGGTCGGGTGGCACTGTGTGTTCCGCGCGTGGGCGTCTTCCGGCGGTGGCACAGAGGGGGACCCGAGAGGGGGTCCTGCCGGAGACTGCTGGGGGGAGGACTCGGGAAGAGGTAGGATGGACAGCCACAACCAGGGCTCGGGGGCCAGAGGGAGCCGGGCCGGATGGCTGGCGGCCTACGGAGAACTGGTACTGGGGGGACACAGAGGGGGGCATCGGCAAACGCCCCCGGAGCACCCATCCCGGCGAGGCGGATTAACACTGGGTGGGGTGGGCCCCCGGCTGAATGGGCAGGCAATTTGGGGCGCCTCGAAGTCTTTTTGGATCTCGGGCCAATGTCTGGGTTCTCCAATTATGACAATTTGGCTCTTTGGGCTTCTGTCCAATGTTCCGAATGGCCCATTCCCCGGGCGCCTGCCGAGGGCCCCTCTGTGCCAAGGGCGGGCTGGCATAGCCGCCCCCGGGGTCATGCCAGCCCTGTCGCCAGGGCCCCGAAGCTGCGGGCCTCTAGACTGCTAGTGGGCTGCCTTTAGGGGGGCTGTGCTGGAGGCATAAGTGGGGGGAGGTAAGCCTTCCAGCCGCCCGCGTCCCTGAAGACGGCCCTGGGCGCCGACAGATGGTGGCTGGGTCGGAATCACCAGACCCGCAGGGCCCGGGCCCAAGCGACCCCAGTCAGAGATGGACCTCACAGTTCTCCTGCTCTGCGGGCTCCCTGCTGACCTCCCCCGCTGCCCAACCTCACCCCGCCTGGTCCTCGAGGCGCCCCGCAGAGCCGGAGCCTCCTAGGGACCAGACAGGGTGCTGAGGAGCGGGCAAGGTGTCACCGAGGGGTGGGGGGAGAGCCCCCCAAGTGCGCGGAAGGCGGCCACTTGCTCCAGCCCGATGGAGCCCACGCTCACACATCTGCAGCCCCTTCCCCCCCGGCGGCCTCGGGCCAGCCGGGGGCCCCATCCTGGTGGCCTCCGAGCACCTTCCTGACACCTGGAGGGACGCCGCCCCACACCCTCCACCGCCCCTCAGGACCTCCGGGGACCAGCCACTGTCCCCAAAGGCCAGGCCAGGCAGTGGCCCTCTCCTCCCCCCGGGACTTCTCCGTGGGGCGCGGTGGCCAGCGCCCCACGGAGGCTCCACTCCCGACTCAACCCAAGCGACAGGGACAGATGGAAACAAAAATCAAACGCGGGACGATAAATGGCGGGGAGCAGGACGAGACGTGGTGGATGGCTGCTTCGTGCGTGCTCGCTTGGGCCACTGCTCCCCTGTTACGGGGCGGGAGGATATACTTCGGTACGTGAGCGCGTGAGAAGCAAAGGAGGGTCAAAAAAAAAAAAAAAGAGAAACAAGCCCCAGGAGTGACAAACGAAAGGGGGGGACAGATCGATTGGCGTCAATTTGGGTTCTGATGCGTGTCCGTAATTCTGCGCCTCTCCTCGGAACTCTGACCTCCCTCCGAAACCT